AGAAGTTGTGGATGGAGGAATGGCAGTGTTCAAGAATTTGACGGAGAGAAAGGTCGGCGTAAGGTAGACAATGCCGCGCTTATGATACCAGAATTGTAGCGATGTTAACCAAACTAAACTCACAATGTTCTTCGTTGGAGAATATATCCGTTTCTTCTGAATCGGGTGGATAACCGATTAGCATCATTCACCGGAGACTGGCTCACCTCTCCATAATATATGCGAAAGCGTATTCAAATTCAAGACTAAGACTGAACCATCAGCAGATGGAAACCACCAATCGTATTCGGAAGCCAAATATTTTTCATGTAATTTAGCTCCTCAGTATTCTGGATTTCGGAAGGAAGGGTGGTAGTAGCGGTACACTTGAAGCAAGAATTAGTAAATACGATTCCGTTTAACTGCGCTTCCAGTAGTTCTGTCCACTGCTCAAAACAGTGTTGCCAAATGTAAATCCATAAATCTTCGGAACCAGTGATAACCTTAGTTACGCATAGTTCCCGTGGTCTGGTGTAATTGACAGGATGAAAAATATAGGGACCGTCAACAACAGCCATTTATATACCCGCCACTTCTAGTAGTCAGACTCGTGTTGAGCTGGCGTTTAGGGCATATTTTACCGTTGTTTCTTATCTGTCATTCGGGTTCCATGAGTGAAACAGCAGAGATAGAGTAAATCTAACGTTTAAACTCTGATAGTGCATCAACGCAGGAAATATAATTGCACATTTGAGGCATTTGAGGCTGCATCACTTTGTGTGAGTGCCGTATCCACACTAGAACAACGAGAAAATTTACAGACCAACACCGAAAGGGTCAGTTCAGTAATCAAACGCGCGCAGCAAAGTAACAAAAAATACGCGAATGTCATGTGCATCAGTCGCTATTCTGATTTATCTATTTCGTACCTGAGTTATATGAAGAAGAAATACTATCGAGAAACTGATTTTTCTGAAACAACCAATCAGATCAAGGATAACCCAAATCCAGTGATTGTTCAAAATCTACAGTCAATCAGGATGGATAACGATCCGGTAAAAAAATTCGTCATGTATATGCACTCTCATGCTTTTCTTCTTCCTCAAAATTGACCATCATTTTGGTGCAATAAAGAAATTCCTAAAAGCTTCCAGCATAATTCTATTGCACTAGTTGTGGAATCGCTATCTGGACGAGAAATGCTACCATCGGAGGATTATTTGGGAATCGTGTATCAAGCTAATCGGTGTGGTTATGAAACCGCAATGGAGACTGAAAATATGCAGAACTGGTTGTTATATTCTACAGACATTCACTAATAGAAATGCTTCAGTTGTTTTTAATAAAATGGTTTCCCTTTAACGCTGCTTTTCCAATGATGACTACCGGCGTCCAATTTCGTTTGAAACATCAGTTGTGTCCTACTTGTTTGTTGATCTTTTCATCAAAACCTTCGTAGATCATGATGGACACTCCCGCTCCAGCCCGATCCCCTCACGAGTTCGCTTTTACTTATATCAATGTCTGAAGCCATTTTGGTCTGGGTGTCATAGCTAGACTGTTCCTCCTTATGGACGATTTGATCACGAGCGAAAAAGAAGACCGCGGAATGGATCTTTCGGTAAACTCGATGAAAAAGCTACAGAAGGTTCACAGTCGTTTAGCGACATTCGAAGCCTTGTGTGTTCCGAATAACACTGAACAGTTTCCATCACAACCTGTTGAATAAGCATAATTAAAGCGAATACCTTCAATCCAGGAAGACTGTCCTGGCACATGTGATCATCTTCGGAATCAAGCAATCCACATTAGTCATCTCTATATATAAATCAGAGCAACAAATAATCCCCTTTACCGATACTCTTATTTCCCGATAATCGCGTGTATCTGTCTATCTTTTTGGATGTCACTCGTGGCACAAAAGTAGCCATTCACGTCATCATCCTTGTTTAGCTACTTTCGTCCTCATCATGTTCTCAGTGAAATGAACAAAGTCAGTTCTTGATTGGGAAATGCTTGTTTAATTAGCACGTTCAGTTCACTTAAACCTGTGCAATGCAATCAACTAGAAGCAAATAAGATGGGCGCCGTATTGATACCTCTCAATGTTCTCCAGTGGGGTTTATCACACCCAGTGTGTTCGACTATATTACACGATTTTCGTTTACTGTCTAGAATGGAACCGACAAAAAACGTGTCTCAAAATTACAGCGATACAATTGTGCCGGTCGACCTGGTATACATATACAAAGTTGGACAGAGATTAGAGCTCTCTGGATCAGTGTAAGTGATGATTAGAGACATTGGGGGATTCGACTGACTATCGTAAACAGTAGCACTCGTGCAGTTATTAATTAGTTAGGGTATGGGCAGCATAAAATGAAACTGAGCGCCAGCCCGTTCAGCATTTTTATTGTGGAGATAAGAACTTAGATTGGAATCAGAGATTGATTTTCTACATCAATACAAACGATCCGAGTATTTTATTTGCTAATCCAGAACTGAATACATACAGAGGATCCAATAGAGTATTGTTTTACGAAATCATTATTTGAACACACGCTAAGATGCATTCATTCATACTACTCGCAGCAAAACTACCGACTACCGTTGGGAAACAGACCAATCGGCTTTCTATGAGTTTTAACATTCTTCAATACCGAGCCTTGAAAGTGATTCTTTAGAAAAACTCCATAAGGGACATGGGGGGGGGAGACAAACAGTTCGAGCGAATAAGCAGACTCATTTATGGAAATATAAAAGCATTTGTATCGATAAATATAATCCTATGAACCCAGAGTTGCGTTGGTGTCGATACCTGATTGTAACGCAGTATATATACACTTCATAATTTGATTTAAAAAATCACACAGGAAAATCTCAATCAACGCAAAAAGAACCAACCCAGTGAACAGCGGCTAGTTACCCTTTACTTTACTGCGACTGGCTCCTTGGGAAGGATAAGCCGGCACCGTGAGAGTAACATAATTATGGAGATTCGTTAGTGTTTGGTACGAGACACGTCTCCAGCGTCATTCGGCTTTTTTTAATGATCCATCTCTAGCCTCTGCACAGTCCGGTGCGGACTGCCAACAGCAACATGTTAATATATCGTTTTACGTGTCTCCAATGTAGCAGATTCACCATTCGGTAGAAGTTGCAACCCAGGGATCCAGGGCACCCAGGGATCTCCATTAGTTCGACAGGCCTCCCTGTAGGCGTTGGACCAGGTAGCAGATCTCATTTGTCCATTCAGGATTACCTCTCCTCGTTTGCTATATTCCATCTCGTCGAGCCTTTTTTGACTCGGTTACCCTCAACCTGGTTTAGCTCGTCTGTCAGGTACTGGTACATTCCTTAGCTTCGTGGGGCTAGATGCGAACGTTGGGTACATGAAGGAGACTGCATAACCCTACCGGAATATGATTTACCCATATAACGCTGTTCTCGTGGTCTGAATTACTCTAGCTAAGGTGACGGGCTCATTGGAATTTCTTCATTCTACTGCATTCCTTTAAATTTGTTCAAACTAAAAAATCGGTGGACAAGAAACTCCTGGATGTGTTCCACTTTGAGGTAACGACAAATCGGTCTTTCGAAAAGCATAAGAAAGCCTGTTCACTGCAATCATTCGAGGCGAAGGATCCCCCAAAGAGAGCACTTCATTGAATGTACAATTCTATGATAATTGCAGAGAGGATACAAAATATATTTTGGTTATGCAGTGCTGACGAAATTCTAAGCAGTGTTTGCCATAAATTCATTTGAATCACATAGAAAAAGAGGCTCCATGAGTGCAACAGTCTTTGCCCGAGTAGCGATCAGACAGGCGTCAAACGTAAGCATACCTCGAGATTGGGAAGATCACCCAACACGCACCAAGGGAACAATTGCAAACCGCAATGCGACAAAGAGACTCGGGTGATTGGGTAGTGGGCAAAGGAGTGCGAAATCATCCGTGGGACCGTGGGACCAGACGCGATCGGGTTCGGATGTGCAGTGCGGGGCACATGGCAATCGCCGTTTAACCAATCCGTCAGTGGACCGTGTCGAAGTAACCACAACGCCCCGGGCACATAGTTCCGATCAAGGCGTTTGTGCGATAAATTCACGTGCATTCCGATCCGGCACTGAAAACCGGAGGACACGGTGCGTGTAGATTGACCGGTCAGTAACAGGCCGGCAAGACGTAGATGGTGTCGCTGAAATGCGTGATAGAACAAGGTCTGCTCCGGATCGAACGCACCGGAAGCCAGTAGTAGTGAAGTCAATCGACAGGCCAGCTAAACCGTGTGAAAAACGCAATGGAAATGAGTGGTTCTGGGGTGGCGGTGGCTCCGAAAATGGTATGTAAAAACAATGCGCACTGAGAAAAGGTCTGCGCAAAAACACTCATTCCTCAGTTGAGAGGTGATGACTGTTCTCACATCCGAGTGAGAGAGAAAGAATGAGCTCAGAAAAAGTATTGACTCATCTCGTCTTATAGTGCTCAACTGCTCGCTGAGTTTGAAAACGACTCAGTCCTCGAACGGCTGTGATCGGTGGTGTCATGTTTGGGAAACATGTTGACATTTTGGTTGAGCAACTAGCACCACAGAACTTTGTTCAGAAGATAAAACCGAAATCCATGAGATCGACTGGAAATCGATTTCTGGACCAAACATGAGGCCCGGTTCGATAAACAGTCTAAAAATATCGATGGGTTCGTTAGAAGCACACCCTAGTGGAGAATGAGTTTTCTTTGAGTGGTCCATGACAATCGAATTCAAAAAGCCCTCTCCTCGTGATCGGTTTGAGAGACACTGAGCAGGGGATACCTCCTAATAATCATCAATCGTCACTGATCAGCTGCTGAACAGATACAAGTGTTACCCGATTGGTTAGTCGCTCTCACGGAACTCCCAAATGATGTGTGAAGTGTCTATGATTTCTGCAACTCGCGCATCAACACTTGCAGACCACGTATACGAAAACTGGCGGGGCATAAACTAGCACCGAATTAGATGAATTAGGGATAAAAAGTCTAGTAGGAGAAACTGTTTTCTTTTGACCAAAGAGCAACTGGTCACTTTAAATCGAAGGAGAATACTCCCAGTGTTCAGCTGACCGCAGATCACGTCAAAATATGATTAGATAAAACGTTTATTTTTTGACGTAGAATGATCGTGCTAACTGCGCTATTGGTGCACTGCGCAAGTGTGGAGCAAGTGTCAGTATTTTATCAATGATGCCATGCACTGGAAGAGGAGGAGGAATCAAAGTGGTAATAGAGCTATCTTCAAAGAAGAGCTGATGCCGAGGGCTCGATAAACAACCATATGGCGCTATCTCATCCCAGTGGGGATGGGCAGAATGTGTGCATGCTCAGTTAATGATAAAATGGTCAGCTGCTTATCCAGCTGAAAGAGGTCCCAAGCCATTTTGTCACATAGATTACTCAACAGACCGGATCGCGATAATGATCATCCGGGTCCTTCAAATGAGAAACACAAGCCAGGCACAGTGAAACGAACCGATGGTGCCAATGAGAACGGATAGAAAACCAAGCTCCAGCTGCATTTATTATTAATACATAACACAGAGGTTCACTATCATTTAAAGCTCTCATGAGAATTTGAATTCAGCACATCACCAAAGTAATAGGGTTGATTCGCATGGATGGATACCGCTGACCCAGCGGAGAATCACACCGATGGGCCTTCGCACGTTCGCGAATAAATGATTGGTGATCACAGATTATAAATGAAATCTGCAACAACATACACATGTACATCAGAATGCAATGCAGAGCAAAAGACTCAAAAGTAACGCACATTTTCATCGGAATCGGCTAGTCGACAAGCCAATCCAAGCGGACTGGTGGATAGGGTTTCCGAGGGAAGCGCCGATTGTTGTCTACGAACGTGAGTGCACGGACCAGCGGGCACATTGACTTCGCGAAACAAATAGTCTAGAATGAGTTCCACCAATTCCACATTTCTGAAAACAAAGAGGAGAGGAGATGAAAAAATGTCTCGAAATCTGTCAGTAGCTCTAACGGATCACAGAACTGTGGCAACCACCCGGGTAGATCTTGTTGCATTAACATTCCCTAACTGTATTATATCAATTCTGTTCAATATACTTAGTGGATGTGAAAGTATAATTACAAAGTGAAATCTCCAGTAAATGTATGTTAATTATGAGCGAAACAAACCTCTGATTTCCCAGGCATTCCCACTTGAACTGCAAAATTACCTCAACCTTTCGTAGCGAAACACTTTCAATCAATCGGTTGAGGAACGTTACGGGTGACTGACTTATTGCACATTTCAGTAAAGGACTTGATAATGTTGACCTGTTTTTGCGTGACATTCCATTCTTGTCTTAAAGGTCTGACGCCAAACAGCTCCACATGTCTTGAATGGGATCAGAGTCTGATCAATTTGCTGCTCGCAGTAGCATTTTGGAGCGAAGTAATTGTTTTGAATCGCGGAACGAATTCCGTTCTGTAATTAGCGGTGCGAAAACCTTGTATCATACAGCCATCGACAGTTGATTTAGAGTGGTACCATATGCTCTCCCACACAAGCCCAGTGTGAAGATGTTTGCAAACAAGCTTGTTGAACGGGTGAAAATGAGTTTCCATTATTTGGTCCGTTGTGATCCCTAAAGAGAAACCATGACTCATTCGTCCCAATAGTAAAGTTCCATTACATCCAGCGTCAGAAACAGTGCCTTCATCCGTGCAATCAAAACCCGGCTTTCATGTGAGATGTAGCTGGAGAGGAGTTCAAGTGAGGGCAGTCACGACCACAGTCGGTGCCCAAGTGTCCGTGTGTGTGTGTATGTGTGAAAACTGAGAAATTACACAATTTATGCACGTGAAACGAAATAGTCACACCGTTCGTCAATCGATGGATTGAGAGTGCGATACGTCAAATCGGTAAACGAATTGATGTGAAAAATGGAAACATCAGAGCTTGAAAAATGAGATACTTGTTCTACTAATCATGAGAATTCAACCCTGTTGTCTTTTCCTGTTGAGCTGGAGCGCTGTGAAAAAACTCTGACCCCTTCATGCGGGAGGGCAGTGTGTGTGTGTGTCGCATCACATTGATACGATAAGCAGCCAAAATCGCGATCAAACTAAAAAACATTCGGCAAACCACATAAGACAAAACGCGAGATAACTTGCCTAGTGTTGGATGAAGGGTAATTGAGAGCTTTAGACAACTCGTTTCTTCTTGTTGGTCGGTGTGTACTTACGTTTTTGCAGAGACCCAAACCACAAATCACGATGGGGGAACTGAGTCCGAAAATACTGGTTGTGAGCTACACGGTCGACAGCTAAAACTTACGCGCATAGTGATATTTGTCTTTCATTCCGTGTGTATTCACGGACACAAGGCTTGTCGCTGTTGTTCTGTGGGTCTAGCTCTTTAAGATCTCGACCTCAATTTCCCTATATCTCTGATACATCAGATACTTTAATGATTGCACTGAAATTATTCTGTCCGACAACAGTCACAAAGCGATTCGTTCCCCTCTGGTTATGAAAACGAATGACACTTGATTTATCTATCATAATTTCCTATATTTTCGTTAATCTCTTTGATAATGGGCTTTTAAACAATACACGGGGAGAGACAGAGTTTGAAAGGATGCTGTTCAAGAGTGGCAAATGGGGAGAATGTGTGCAGCGCTTACCCGGATATCACAGAAAGTTGCAGTGCATTGAACTGTCCGCAAACTGCCTGGTCACACTGCCCTGAGCAAGAACTGGGATTGATAATCAAATNTCGGTATCAGCCTGTTCTTTTGGTTCCTCAAATTGGTATACGGGGTACCAACAAGCCCGAACACGACGATTCAGGTCTATCGGGGAGACGGAAAACGGTGAACTCCGGTCAACTTTGATCCATTTAGTTCGATCGACTGAGTGCAATTGGGTCGTCTCACTGGACACATGTTCCCGTGCAGATTCCGGTGAAATTGGCATGTGATCATCTTCGACGGAACAACCGCTATCCGATGTTCCAGTCTCATCAAAACGTACCAAGGGGTCAACACCTTCGGGAGGTAAGGGGCTATCGCTGGACGGGAGCACTAGCTGTAATGGTAATTTGAATTGCAGCAGAGTTCGGACAAAGGTCACGTGGCCGGTTAATACAGCCAACAGGAATGGACTCAAG